AGAACAGCTCATGATCCAAAGCATACCACATCATCTGTCAAACATGGTGGAGGCAGTGTTATGGCATGGGCATGTATGACTGCCAATGGAACCAGGTCACTGGTATTGATGACCTGACTGCTGATAAAAGCAGCAGGATGAATTCTGAAGTGTATAGGGCTATACTTTCTGCTCAGATTCAGCCAAATGCTGCCAAACTGATAGGACGCCACTTCATATTGCAGATGGATAATGACCCAAAACATACAGCAAAAGCGACCCAAAAGAAGTGGGATGTTCTTCAATGGCCAAGTCAGTCACCTGATCTCAACCCAATAGAGCATGATTTTCACTTCCTGAAGACGACTGAAGGCAGAAAGACCCACAAACAAGCAGCAGCTGAAGGCAGCTGCCATAAAGGCCTGGCAAAGCATCTCGAGGAAGGAAACTCAGCATTTGGTCATGTCCATGGGTTCCAGAGTTCAGGCAGTCAAAGGATTTTCATCCAGGTATTAAAGGTGATCCTTATGTTTCTAATGATGCTGGTTTGTTCCATTACTTATGAGCCACCAGCGACAGGGTGTGTGTGTGCCACTGGCTGTACTTCCTGAATGCTTAGTGCCCCACTTTTGTCAAACCCCTGGAATTACAGCTGAAAGTCCTGACTTCGCTCCCATCTGGGTGTGTTTCCCAGATTGTGGGATTGTGGTGGTGACAGCGGCCAGATGCCAAAACAGTTATCCTTGTTCCAATATTTCTGGCCCTGACTGTAGTTTAACCAAATCCCAAGTTGGGGAAAGGATTGGGAATGGTTGCTTTCCAGATAGCATTGCTCTCAAATCTGCATAGACAGTGCCTGGATTGATAATGGCTGACAAAGAAAAAGCAATGAAGAGTAAATGTTTTGTTAGAATAACAGCCATAAGCACTTACATCTTTGGAAATATCATTCTTACAATTTGGCCTAGGAGGAGTGAGGACGTACTGGCAGAGTGAAAAGATTAATCAAATATATCAAAGACTATAAAGGAAAGGCACTGGAGAAAGCAGATTTTACTTAGTTTCCTTTCACCAATACTGTTTTATGATTTTCCATGGCTAGTCCCTACAGCGGGATAAGATGGGTGAAGCATATAGCGAAATTGGAAAGAAAGGAGAGGTAAGTGATATTTTCTGTCATTTTGGATGCACAAAGGATAACTGCGTTTTGTCATCTTTGACTCTGGGCAGGGTTGCACTTCTCTGGACTGAGTGGTATGCAATTTGGAGGTCCTCCTGGACTCACAACTCCTGCTTGATGAAAAGGTGGCAACTGTGGCTGGGGGAGGGCCTTTGCACATACTTGCCTTTTGTGCCAGTTGCACCCCTTCCTGGACTGGGAGGCCTTGCTTCACAGTCACTCATGCCTTAGTCACTTCCTGTTTGGATTACTGCAATGTGTTTTACATGGGGCTGCCTTGAAGACCATTTGGAAGCTGCAACTGGTCCAGAATGCAGCCCCGCACAGTGTTAGGCACTTTGAGGTTTGCCAATGTTAAACCTCTGTTGCACGAGTGCACTGGTTCCCAGTTTCCTTCCAGATGGAATTCAAGGTGCTGGTTATTACCTTTAATGCCCTACATGGCATGGGACCAGGTTATCTGTGGGACCACCTCTCCCTGAGGGTATCTGCCTGTCCTATCAGGTCAGATAAGGAAGCAACACTCCAGGTTCCTTCCCTGAAATGTTGCCATCCGGTGGGATCTCAGAAGTATGCCTTTTCTGGCAGGCCACCACACTTTTAGCCTTCCAGAAGGCTGAGGCCTGGCTTTTTACCCATGGGCTGGGGTAGAGCGAGGATGCTTTGGGTTGGTTGTTGGGGCATCCCAAGGGGATGACTTAAGATCCCGGGTTTTGATTGTGTTTTATGGTTTTTGTAATTTGGGGTTTTATTGTTGCGAGCAGCCCAGAGTTGTGTTTTAAGATGGGTGTCCATACAAATCTTATAAATTTTTACTCCAGCTTTCCCAGTCTTCTGCTTTAAGCTGCATTGAACTACAATTCCCATAATGCAGAATCATGATAGTACTAATCCAATATAGCTGAAAGCACCAGCTAGGGAGAAGCTGCATTACTCTATCAACATGAAATCATCTACAGCCATCACAAAAAACAGAAGCCAAATTTGTGTTTGTATTCTCTGAATATAATTTTTCCATAGCATCTGTATCAGTTGGGTTTTTTTGTTTTTGTTTTTGCTTTAACTGTGAAGAATGATCACAATAATGGTCTCCTTGTTGGAATAGGCTAACAAGCTAAAAGGGGATCCTTCTTGGGAGGGAGGCTTATTAATCCTGGCCTTTTCTTTTCCCAGAGACACCGTGGCAAAGGCAATGATATTCTTTATCAGGTGAGATAGCAATAACAGAATCTTTCTCTGGAATTTCTTTAACTCTTAAATCAGTGAAGAGATTTGCCTAAAGCAATTTATCCACTGTTCTTATCCCTTCTTCATTCTCTGAGTACTCTCTATCTATGCTTGGAAGAAAGTTGAACAAGGGATTTTCTCTACTTTGTCACCAAAAAGTTGAGTACAGCCAATATTGGTCATGCATTATGTCAGTTAACTTCTCAACAGCAGGAAAGGCTTACAGCCAAGTGTCAGAAGGCACAGGTCTTGATCTATCATTCACAGCACTGTTATTGGAAGAAAACAGGTACCTCAATTAGTGTTGCATTGTAGCATGTAGTTCTGCTTCCCCTCTTGGTCCAAGTAAGAGGCAAACTTAAAACAGAGCTGCAGAAGTGTGGACTCACAATCCTTGCAACGTGGCCAATAAATCCCTCCTAAATATGCTTTTTAATTGTTATATCAGAAGGGGTAAATTATTAAGTATATGTGGAATAATGGTATTAATTATATGTAGTTAATTTAATTAGATTTAAGCTTACATTAAATTTAGTTTTTGTACTGGCCTCATTTGTTGGAGTGCAGTCTAAGCATGCCACTCAGATGTTGCCATCTGGAAAAAGATGCACATCCCTGACAGCAGCAATGGTTAGAAAGTAGTTGCATTCTTCTCCTTCTCTTACAAATGTGATGCCTCTTGCTCTGATCCCTAGCTTTAGTACTCTGGCCACAGGCAACACTGAATCTGAATCTATGGTTAATGAACTCTAATGATTTAAGACTGTTTTCTAATTGTATTGTTTCCCTTTATCAGGGGCTCAGTCCAGCAACAAAGGACACCTACAGTGCCCTTCAAATGCAGCAAATACATCCTCATTAGCTACAACTGAATCTAAAAAGGAAGAAAAAAAAAGACATTCTTTATAGGGGAATGGTAGCAACCAAAGACAACAGTCCATTCCAGGAAAGCCATTGCCTTTTATGAAGAATGCCATTGTATGGTCATCAAAACCCATGTTTCATTTCCAAATAACATCCAGTTTTTTAAATGTACATAAGTGTAAAGACTCTGCTCAGTGTACAGTTGCTCAAATTTAGGAGTAGAAGTTGTGATTGCTATTTCACTGTATAACTAAATAGGAAAAATATTTTTTCTTCCTCAGCTGAAAGATGCTTCCTTCTGTACCATCAGGCATTTAGATACCAGCAGATTCCCTTTCTCTATAGATGTTTTCTAATGTGTTCTTATTTGAAGGTAGCTGGGGAACTTTTTGGGGAGGGGGAGGGAAGAGAATATATTTTGTAAATGCATCCTCACTGTCTTTGATAAAATGCAATCTTTCCCCACTCCCCAGGAATTTAGATTACAACCTCTATCAGTCCTAACATTGGGGCTGGTGGTGAAGGATGACAAGGACTGTTTCAAAACTTTTCCAGCTATAACTTCCAAACTGTTAAGTAGTTAGTTTGGACTTAACTGAAAGTAGACACCTTCTTATGTTTAAGAGGACAGTGAAAAAGAAACTTGTTCAGATGGTGCTTTGAATTTCAGGGTATGAGAAAACTGAAAGTTCTGTCCATGCGCTTGGATAATTTTCCACAAATTGTAAATTGCTTTAGCATTACAAAGCTAACAGTCTTTACTATTAGGTTTGGGTGAAGTCTGAAAGCAAAATAAAAAAAAAAAGGACACAGAACTACAAGCACATTTAATAAAGCAATTAAAACTGGTTTGGGCTTACAATTAATTCTGTTGAAGAACAAAGGACTCAATTTTGAATATTTAAGATTTGTTGCATGTCACTATATAGTAATCATGAAAATGGTCTTGTGCTATGAGGAAATGGACCAGTACAGTCTGTGTCTGTCTTCCCATGATTAAAATAATGGATAATTATGTTGTCTGCTGCCTCATTATGTACACTGTTCCTAGTGGCTGTATCTTATACTTCAACCTATATTAACTACAGTGAATGCAATAGCTTGCAACTTGACCAGAATTGATTGACCAACTTTCTTTTGATTAGTACTGATCAGATTTAAAGAATGCTAATACAACTATGAACTACAGTTAAGGTCTGCAAGGAAAGAAAACAAGGAATTTACATGGGAGACTGCACCCTTTCATCATCTTTAGCCCAGTGCCCCCCACCTTTGGAGTTTGTGGGCAGATTTTGAATTTGGAGACCATATCTTAAACACCCTGACAAAATGGATGCTGGAAGGCTTTCCCATTTACAGTGTAGAGTACTGTGTCTGAGCTGCAAACTATGGACCATTAGAGGCAGCAGAGATACAGAAAACGTTTGGTGCCATCTAGTGGTTGACCAGCTGCCATATATGGGTTGACCAACAACTGGCATATGATATTCCTAACAAAATGGCAGCCTCAGGCAATTTAGCAACAATCCCAGGGCTACCAGACCTGGACTGCAAAGCTCAGATCACTAGGTGGCAGCAAAGAACTAGGATAAAGCTGACTTGTTGGTCAACCCTACGAAATACTACCTATAATGCTTCTATCTCCCCTCCTGTAGAATGCTGTGCACTACCTGTGCTTACCTGTTCTTTTTTCTGGGCAGGTGAGTGTATTTCTAAATAAAGCACCGGTATACAGCAGTGCCCATCAGCTCTATTTTTTAAAAAAGCTTATAGAGTGCAAGTAGGGCCCAAGTCATTCTTGAAAATAAAGATGCTGCAGACTGGCATTATGCAGCATGCCAGTGTTAAAAAAATCAACATAGTTTTTGAAAGATTAGATACAGTGCATTTGGAAAGTATTTGGACCTCCTTCACTTTTTTCAATTTTGTTATGTTGCAGCCTGATACTACAATCATTCAAATTCATTTTT